GCCAAACTATGCACGGCAATAGTGCCGTAATATGCAATGTTTATACTTTTTCCTGACATTCTTTATTCCAGCCTTGGGTATTCCGAAAATACACCGTTTAGTCTGAATTGTCATTTCCAATTAAAAGAAACACTGCTGCAGGTACCCAAAAGCTTCCTCAGCCTCCAAACTCCCTAGAGCTGGACTCTCTGATATCAGAGGCAAACAGGAGTAAAAGCAAGCATTCGAACGTCTGTCCAGAGGTAGATGCAGCACTAGCAGCAGATAATGTGGAACCTGTGAAGGGCGACAGTCTGCGTGAGAAAAGCTTCTGGTATTTTAGCTTCAGGACAATTCAATTTAAGTAAATTCTCAATTTTAGGGCTTAAAAGACTAATAACGAGCTAGACACCTTCGCTTACGTTTGTTATACATTACTTGAGGGTTGATATATACAAGTCCACGGATACCGCCCGTGTAGTCCATTGAAATACTATCCGAATCCAGCAAAGGTCAAATGCGAGCAATGTATATAATAATTGTTCCTTGTTTCTTTTTTTTTTTTTTCTTTGCTTTTGCACTTGGGCAGTCTTACTTGTAAGGGCCGGTTCTCACATGCAGCGAAGCGCTGATGTAGCGCTCCTCACGTGCCATCAGCTACTTATCGTATGCCATGAGCAACAGTTTTGACGGTGCGATACAAAGCTGGTGAACGCTGCCGTCAGCACGCGCTTAGCGCGAGGTTAGCGCTATGCTTGTAGCGCTCCGCTCCATGTGTGAACGGGCCTTTATTCTCTCTTCATGGCCCAGACTGTATTTAACATGTTGCTCGAGCAGCATGCAGCTTTTCTGCTTCGGCGATCTTGTTTAAAAACAGAGATACAAAAAAAAAAAAAAATAATATGCATATCCTGCCAATTCATTCAGACCATCAGCAGCATTTATTGTGCAAAATGTAAATCTATATATAGTGATGCTCCTGCAATTATGGCCATATTTCTTTATTCTCATATACCAGCTGTGATTCATGCGTTCCCTGCCCTGTCAACCATGCTTAAAATGTCGGTTGAAGTTTCGCCTGTAGCTACAGGCCATAAATGAATAAAGGCTCATATAAAAATTTACACTTCCTAAGAAAAACACGCAAAAAAAATTAAATAGAAACGAGCGCGCCGTCAGCTAGCGTCGTCACAGCCTCCACAGGGCGAGCGGGCCGAGTCGGGGAAACATTTTCTCCTCGCCGTGACGTCACCCCGGTTCGCCGTAAGGGGGCGCCAGAGACCGTTTTACTGAAAGAGGGCGACAGAGAAAAGGGGAAAGGGTTACCGGCGCTTTCCCCCTTTCTGATTGTGTAGAAAGAGTGAAAGTCCCGGATGAGGAGGCTTCGCCGGTGTTGGGTGTCCGCTGTGCCCGAACTTCGGTCGCGCTTTTTTTTTCGGTTTTAAACTCGCAAACTTAGTTAGAGCCAGAGGCTTCGATGGCAACAGTCCCCCGGTCATCGGGACACCATTGCTGGGTCATAGGGTGCACGAATAAAAACAAAGCATAGAATACTGTCCGAGGACATATGTAGCTTGCAAGGAATCCGGCAAGGCGAGAGCGGCTGCAATGTCTTTGAGCTCCATCGCTTTCCACATGACCCCTGTCTCCGGCGGCAGTGGATTGCGTCTGTAAACCGAAAAGGCGTTTCCTCAACGCCATCCTCTCGACTTCGCTCGGAACATTTCGCGGATGGAGCGCGCACCAAACGCTGTACCGCCGATTAACATGGGGTACGCTAGCAATGTGCGTGCGAGTTTTCTCATGATAACTATTGTTTCAGCTTGTAAAATTTTGTAACTGAATTTATCTTAATAGTGATAATTTGCAGTGGTGACTGACTCGATTTTATCATCTACAACACTGAGTTGAAGGCTCATTTCCGCCCCCGGGTGAGGCTGGAAATTGTTAAAAACGTATTTCTATTGGTTTTTTTTTTTTTTTGTTTTGTTTTTTTAATCGCGATTTTCTGCGCGATACCAGGGAGCCGGCAAAAGCGTCCTTTAAGTGCCGCTGGTGGGTTCTTTTCGTTGACTGAGGCGCTTTGAGGCGCTGGATAGTCGCTGCAGGGAACGTCTCGTGTGTTGCGATCTGCGTTTTCGAGCCCAATGTGCACGTTTCTTTGTTTGAGTCATGGCATCCGCCAGTGTGGCGACGGGGGGGGGGGGGGGGGGGGGGGGGGGGGGGGGAGAGCGGCAGCGAATGTGGCAGCTATAGAAATTGGAGGTGAGTACCCAGAATATTGCATCAAATAGTAAGATAATTCGTGGCTGCTTCGAGGCTTTCTGCAGTTCGATAAAAGTACATCTGGAGCGTCTTCGTCGTTCATTCACAAAGAAATATAAGAACAGGGACACGAACATAAAAACAGCAGAGCGAGACGATATGTAGCAGCTCCGGGCGTTTACAAAGTTAATTGAGTTTCCCGTTTCGTGTATAACTTGTTGATTACAACTAAAAGCGGCTACGTTGAAATAGGCCCATTGCAAGCAAAAATGTATAAATGGTTCATCATTTCCAGTCATGCGGAAAGCAATGGAGCTTAAAAACATTCCAGCCGTACTTGCCTTGCCGGATTCCATGCAAGCTACATAGGTCCTCGGACGATATTCGACGCTTTCTGTCGTTATTCGTGCACCCTATCACCCAGCAATGGTGTCCCGATGACCGGGGGACTGTCGGCATCGAAGACCATGACTGTAATTAAGTTTGGGAGTTTGAAACGTAGAAAAAAGCGCGAACGAAGTTGGGGCACTGCAGACGCCCAACACCGGCCAGGCCTCTCGTCCGGGACTTCCACTCTTCCTACACAATCAGAAAGGGGGAAAGCGCCGGTAGCCCTTTCCCCTTTTCTCTCTCGCTCTCAAAATGGCGCTACCCACAATAAAACGGTCTGCTCCGTACGCTGCCCCACAGCCACGCCATCCGCGCCTCCGGGTCTCCTGCAAAAGCGACAGTCGCTTCCCGCACCGCGGGGGGGGGGGGGGGGGGGGACGGGGGACATTTATGCAGCTATTTATGCAGTCAAAGGTACGCGAGTGCGCTTGAGCGCTAATCAAAGCTGTGCGCGCGTGCTCTCTTCCTTGATGAAAATAATCCCTGGAGAAGGGGAACAAGAGGGACAAAGGACAAACACAAACTTTGTGTTTGTGTTTGTCCTTTGTCCCTCTTGTTCCCCTTCTCCAGGGATTATTTTCATCATTCTTGTCCAGCTCGCTTGCCCCTTTGCATTTAATTGCATTATAATTATAACATTAAATTGCAAGCTTCACCCTTGTTGGTGTTAGACTGGTGGCGGCTGATAAAACCCGTTTGCTCTACTGACGTCTAACCCCTGGTTAGTTCAGTTGGTAGAGCGCTCCACTTGTAATGGAGAGGTCCCGGGGTCGATACCCGGACCAGGCGGATTTTTTCGGTCGCTCACCAGTCTTAGCTGTGTTTGGAGTTTGTGTTTGTCCTTTGTCCCTCTTGTTTCCCTTCTCCAGGGATTATTTTCATCATTCTTGTCCAGCTCGCTTGCCCCTTTGCATTTAATTACATTATAATTATAAGATTAAATTGCAAGCTTCACCCTTGTTGGTGTTGGACTGGTGGCGGCTGATAAAACCCGTTTGCTCCTGGCTTGCTCTACTGACGTCTAACCTCGGGTTAGCTCAGTTGGTAGAGCGCTCCACTTGTAATGGAGGGGTCCCGGGGTCGATACCCGGACCAGGCGGATTTTTTCGGTCGCTCACCAGTCTTAGCTGTGTTTGGAGTTTGTGTTTGTCCTTTGTCCCTCTTGTTTCCCTTCTCCAGGGATTATTTTCATCATTCTTGTCCAGCTCGCTTGCCCCTTTGCATTTAATTACATTATAATTATAAGATTAAATTGCAAGCTTCACCCTTGTTGGTGTTGGACTGGTGGCGGCTGATAAAACCCGTTTGCTCCTGGCTTGCTCTACTGACGTCTAACCTCGGGTTAGCTCAGTTGGTAGAGCGCTCCACTTGTAATGGAGAGGTCCCGGGGTCGATACCCGGACCAGGCGGATTTTTTCAGTCGCTCACCAGTCACTTAGCTGCGTTTGTGTTTGTCTTTTGTCCCTCTTGTTCCCCTTCTCCAGGGATTATTTTCATCATTCCTGTCCAGCTCGCTTGCCCCTTTGCATTTAATTGCATTATAATCTCTTTCTTTGTTTTGAAATGCCGCAGAAATTAAGTTGTCCACGAGTATAGAACTTTTCTAAAAAAAAAAAAAAAAAAAAGCTCCTGGGCGGTTTTCTTTTCAGTGTTCGTGCGTATGGCGCGTCATTTGCTCACTTTCCGAAGCGACGAGCATGCGCGTGGTGGGCGGAGGAAATCGCACGCTGGACAGAGGCCTTTTAAATATTGAAATGGTAGATAGGCTTTAAAGCGTACTGGAAAAGCCATCAAATGGCAATACACTCACAGTGAAAACAGTGAAAAAAGGGTGCTTGGCCACACAGCCCAGTGAGGCTATGTGGTCATGAAGCATATATGATAGTTTTGCCTGATTCCCTGGACAATTTAAATATTTTGAAAGAGAAATATGCAAGCATGGATTTGATGTAAGCAAAAAAGATCAGACCCCATGCTTTCACCTGCTATAGAGTATATATTCAGAAATATCTTACAATCGGCCTTGGGATTCGACTAATGGCTTCAAAATGCAGTCACTGAATAAGTGTGTGCTCAATAAGTGTAGCTGTGCTTGGGGAGGACTACTAGCACCAAGCTGCCGGAATGCCCGCCGCTGGTGCATCTTAGTCCGGTTGCAGGATGTACTAATGCATTCTGCAACAGGCATTGAGCCATCAGGGATGCAGGCTGCACGGTTCTGATGCACAGCTTGAAGTTGCACGAGAACTCGAGCAGGTTTGGGGAAGGTGGGGAAAAAACATGGTAACTTGTCCTGGCTGGGGACACATAAAGACCAAAGGCTAGGCTAATAAACTGACCTAGCTGAAAAGACAAACAGACATTCCTAGGTCATTTGCCAGGTTTTAATCATGCCAAGAAGGTGTGCTGAATATAAACATTGTCAAATCACAAGCAGAAAATAATGAAACAAATAATTTATCAGTCGTTGTTGCATGTATGCATACATTCCAATTGCACTGTCGATAAGGCAACGCTGGCATCCATTGAAACCGCTATGGAAAACTAATAAAATAAAACATGTCATGAAACATAGCTCAGTGATAAGCAATCATACATGAACATGGGCAAAGTTCTTTTTACAGCTATATACAGAGGAGCTCAACAAGATTTCCTGAGTAAGACACAGAGTATTTCTCAGTATATCAATAGGGACAGCTGTAAAAGCATATCTGCACAAGTCTTAAAAATGTTTTCCTTCTTTTACTGCAATAGCTGCAGGCACTTTGTCTCTTGCATGAGGGATGTGAGGGTGGCACTCATGTCATTGATCACCATATTGTTGGTGCACAAGAGCGGGGAATGTGGGTGCGGCTTGCTCTCTTTCGTGACAGCCGAAGCAACGGGTTTCTTGCCTGACCCCTTGCTGGACGGGTTTTTCGGCGAGCCAGAGCCGTCCGGCACAGCCTTGAGCCCGTCCACCCTACTCTGTGCAGCTTCCGACTTGTCTGTCGTACTCGTGACCTTGTTGCATCCTGGTGACAAGACCATTCCCGCCTGGGCTGGAGCACCAGAGATGGGAGGCTGGAGGAGCACTTGGGACGGGACCTGCGTTGGCTCCGGAGGCACGAGCGGTTCCGCTGTCACTTGTGGAGCGATTCCTTGTGGGTCCTGGTTAGTTGTCCCTGCATTGTTGACAGCCACAAGCTGTTGGCACTGTTGCACATACTCCAGGGTGCGCCTGTAGGTGTCCGGAGGCATGGCTGCCCTCGACGACTGGCTCACGCTGCGACACTGAATCTCGGGCTGCGGTTTTGAGCAGTTGCTGCACCTCGAACACTTGTGCCCGTTGTAGCTGTGAGTGGCGTGTCCATACTGGGCACCCTTGTCCAGAGTGCCATTACTTCTGTGAGACAACGGACCGCTGCACTGGTTGTTTTGAGATCGGTGCAAGCACGTGCCTTGGCAGCTGCTGGAATGCGACGTCCCGTATGTTGCCACTCCCGACTGGATCGAGGGTGTCTGGGACACTGGTGCAGGTGACGGGGGAAGTGGCACTGTCATTGCCTGGCTCTGCTGGTGGCACTGTGGTTGCACTACCAGATTGGGCTGAGGCATCTGGATAAGGTTGTTAGGAGCTGCTCTAAAGATTGCTCCAGCAGTCTGGTTCAAGTTGGTCTGCACCCTGCAGGCTGGGTACGCTGGGTGGACCGGTGGCTGATGTGGAGTGCTTCGGCACAGCCGTGACCCACAGTGGCAGTAGTTTGTCTGCAGTTGGCACGGGTTCTGTTGGTAAGCTGGCGGAGGTGCGCGATGTTGGGGGAACATTCCCTGCGTTTGTTGGGGATGATTACTAGTTTGATGGATATGGCAGTTTGGCTGCTGAGGATGAGCCACGTGGGACTGGTGGCAGCAGCTGTTGACAGGGGGTCCATGATGAGCATTGAAGCTACCGTTGCAAGTGTGCCCTTGCTGTGACACCTGGTGGTGGACTCTGAAGTTGTTGTTGCTGCTATGCGAGAACTGGCTCCTTTCACAATAGTTTGCCGGCTGCGAGTTGTAACCAGGGTGAGTGCCTTGGTGCTGTGGCTGAGGAACAGGTGTTGCATACTGCTGCTGGCTGACCATAAGATTCTGTGTTGACTGGAAGCCATAGGGCTGGGAATTATGGATGCCATGAACTTGGGGATGACCATGGTGTGGTCCAGAGTGATGCGGTGATTGGAGGGGAAGATGACCTGATGATGCAGGAGGCTGAGGATGGTGCCAGTTATCAACATGCGCTGGCTGATGGCAAGGTTGGGCAGTTTCCTGACTAGGCGGATAAGGCGTGTGGTTCACCACCGGAGCGGGTGGGGCCGGATGAGAGTATGTTCCACTATTGCAGCTCTTCGGCTGAGAGTTCAGTGAGCATGCACCACCTTGCTGGATGCCAGCATCCTCTTGGTGGTGCACATTTTTTGTGTAAGATGAGTTTGAGTAGCAGGAATGGCCATTGCTTAGAGAACCATTCTGTTGAGCACCTGCATAGTTCTTGTTACGGATTTCATCGTACTGGCTCACACTAGACACTGCTTGACTCATGGCAGAAGCCGGTCGCTCTCTTTGTGCGAGGTAGTTGATGAGTTCATCGGGAAGCACCAAGTCGTCCAGCTCTTCTACTGGCTGGTCCGTCGTGCAGTTGAGAGCGGCCCTTTCGTTCGGGTGGTGGCCATCATTGCAGAATTCTAAGGGCACCGCAGCAGACGTCCCCGGCCTGGAAGGGGCTCTGTTTTCTTGCGTCGGGTTGCCGAGCTGCGTCCCCTGAGATCTGGGAGAACCCAGCGCCGGCTGAGACTGCATGCTGGACGAGTCCTCTTGTTCGTGCAGGACCTCCATGTTCTGCGCCGGTGGTGGAAGCATCAGACTGCTCGTCATTGCAATGTTCTGAGGTTGCACGACCAGGTTCCCAGTATTTGAGAGGGTGGGAATGTGCACCCTCCTGAAGTGCGTTGAGAGGCTGTGGATGGCGTCGTTGCTCCTTCGTGAGCAGCCCGTAGAGATCGGGTCGCAGGAGGAATTGATTGTGAGGCTGCGCGACGCCTCGCTGCCGGTCGATGTCTGTGGGCTGGCGTCGGAGCACATGCTGCTGTAGAAGGAGCTGACGGTGCTCGTGCTGCTGCCTCTGCGGCTGATCAACGTAGTGGTCTGTCGAGGAATGAAACCTGCAGAAGGAGGGAGATAGAGGTGACGTTACCGGGGACGCTATCTTAGAAGGCTTTCAGTATGGTCCTACAACTCTATACACGAACCCTCGTAAGAAAAAACAGGCTGTATAACATTGATAACTACACAAAGCATCTGTCATGCTAAAATTTGCATCAACATGCTTTCTGAAGCCCAAATGGGCTTCACGAAAGTGGCCAATAAGACTGTTAATCTGTGACATACATAGTCATATGTGGCTTTATTTTACATATAGAGGGCATTTCTTTTTTATTGAATACAAATTTTTCTAAAAACAAAGCCATGAAAGCTACACAAATGCGATCTGTGGAAGTGAGTTACACGGCCAGGCGGACATTATGCTCGAGAGAGAATGCAACAAAAAGATGAGTAATTTACGAAAATTCACTAATTACTTTTTAATTAAATGTTTTAGGGCACATGTGTTTCCTGAAAAAATAAAAGCAATCAATGTTGAAGGCCAGCCCAGTTTATAAAAATCCTGGATCAAGCGCTAAGCCATGTAGGTTATTGCTATGGTTCACCAGCCACAAGACACCAACTGCAATCAGCTCCAGTGTGCTACAAAGCGAAAGTGACACAAATTTGTTCATCAACACGCGTCCCTCTGGCATTAAATGAGGGTTGTCCTTCCAGCGGGCATCGCGCATTCGGTTTCAGTATTGATACATTTCCGAAACAAAGTTTGACGATTAACGAATCAAACTGCACGCTCGATCCAGGATTTTTAAAAAATCTCGGCTAACCTTCAACACTGATTGGCTCCATTTCTTCAGTATAAATGTGTGCCCTAAAATATCTAATTAAAAAGTACATAGTGAATTTAGGTAATTAGTCACCTGTTGCATTCTCTCTTGAACATAATGTGCGCCTGGCCATATAACACCTGCGCAGACTGCATTTGTGTAGCTCTCACTACTTTTTTGAGAAAGATATCTATTCAATCTAAAAAAAATTGTGACAGTAATCCTTCCCATATAAATATCATCTCCCCCAAATACTGCAGTGCATGGGCTCTCAAACCAGGTCCCGACAAGTACCTCCCACCACGAGTTGCCGGAGCTCCCAAATTTCCTCAACTGTTTCCACCCCTAAGTAAGGTGTTTTCCCAGTTTGTTAGAAAAAACAACGGTCAAGCAAGTAACATGTAGCAATCTTCATAAATATAATCTTCTAGAAAAATCTGTCTGAAAGTTTGCAGGCATTCCTCTCCCCTTCCATGTCTCCAAAAATTACTATACCAGGAACTAGGTTCAAATATCAGAAGTCAGAATGCAGACTGTGTCCTCTGCACCGCTCTTCAACTTTCTAAAGCCACGAGCTCGCACCCAAACATTTGGCAATATCACGCAATCAAGGCAAATTCAGAGGTGACATCGAGTAGACTCTCATTTGCGACCACTTCCATGTCCCTTTCGAAGCTGCACGTTAGTGGCGACGGAGCAATGGCAGGATTGTCTCACCTTGAAGCTGAGAAGGGTTTGACGAATTGCACAGGCTCACAAAGTTCTTTGGCTGGTCTGCTGGTGGAGGCTGGCGGACCCCACCATGCCGAGGCACATGTCCACCTGAAGTAGCAAACACTGAGACTCAGATGTAGACTAGTCTCTAGGGTGTAATTCTGGCATCCACACCACACACAAATTACAGATCGAAATCCTTACCAAAAGGGTTCTATATCACAAAAAAGAAAATGATTGCTCTTCTATTTTTTTTATAACGTTCTTGATGCTCTAGAACTTTTTTTTTAATCACATTCAGAGAGTGAAAAATTAGGTTAAACATTGAAAATACTTGTTTATCCAGCAACTGTTCCAAAATGTGTCTTTAAAACACTGGAACACAAAAATGAATATGCCTATGTAAAGGCAACAAAAAAAATGCTCAGAGAACACACATGTTATCAACCGTGTGCCATCATTGTTTGAGGTTGGGAGTAAACAAAATCATGTCAGTGCATTTCGTGGGTAAAAGAATGTATGAGTTGTGCAAGGAGCAGACAAACTTGCACACCACTTAGCTAAAAGTGGCCTTTCAGCAAAACTTTGCTCTCATCGGGGAAAGAATAAAGAAGGTAGCTCCCGATTTCCTCAATGTAAATAGGTTCACACACTAAAACAGTACACAGAATCTTCAGCAATGAAACTTTCTAAACAATGGAAGAGACTACTACTTTGATAAACATTTTGTGTGATATCCCTTTGACCAGTATAGTATCAGTTTTGAGCTCTCCAGAGGAGAGCACCTCATACACAAGTCACCTACCCTATTTACTCGAGTAATAGCTGCACTGTTTAAGAAGAAATCCTGAGGGTTAATTTTTCCGCGGAGCACGCGGATTGCGAATCACCGCGATCGACAGCATGATTCCAGCTGTTTACAGGACAGAGATAATTTCTTTGTGTGATGATACAATCTGTGAATATTGCATTTGTATGGAAAATCATGTTCTCGATCTGGTTATTCGCTATGCTATTTATGCGCAACGCGATGACTGGCTGTATATGTGTTCTGTGGAAAAGTAGACGCAAGGGCCTTGTTCATAAATAGTGAGGCTACGGTATTAGCTGAGTAAATACAGTACTTGCCTCAATATTACCAGGTGCAATCAAAAAGCTTTGAGATTGATTTTGTAGAGTAAAAAGAGTGGGCAACAAGGTGATGTGCACGCAGCAGTTGAAGGCAGGGACCTTCCTTTATCATTATGTAAAGGGGCGTCATTTTGTGAACATTTCGAGCTGCGCTAAACGAGTTTTTGTGACCACGAGCGACAGCAAACATGAATTCTGCACTAAAAAGCAGTGAATTGCGCTAATTGTTTTGAGTGGCACTCTTGCTTCAGGAATGGCAGAACATCACTGGAAGACAAAAAGGGGTCGGAGAAAGTCGCTTCACTTCTCTTCGTCTTTCAGCGATGTTCTGTCATTTTTGAAGCACGAGTGCAACTGAAAACACTTCAAACAATACACTGCTTTTTGACATAAGCCTGCTGAATCATTTGAAAGGTGTCTGTTCTAGATTTGTAAAATTTGAAGCAAAGTTAATATTCATTCAAGCTCTGGTTAGCAGTCTATGGAGAAATCACCATTTTCCTCATGCTTGCAATAACAAAAAAATCAAGAACACGCCGAAGACATTTAAGACTGCTAACGTGTAAGAATACGAAAGCATTCTTACTAGCAGCGCAATTCTACAAGCAGCACGCCACATCTTTTTTTTTTTGCACATTTCGCTCCGGTGGTGACATCACGCTCCACCATTGTGCAGGCACAGCGCACCCACCGGCTTCACGGCTTCCATGACAAAGCGTCTGTGTTGCTGCGCTTTTCTTTGTGTTTTGTTTATGAGGCGCATCCGCTTCTACCTTGTGCGGCGCGTGCTTGATGGCATATTTTTATGGCCATCTTTCGGGGACAACGCCGACTCTTTTTCATGCAATTGGACATATAAGGCTTTCACCTTAAAACCCTTGTAGCACAGCTCCACATGTTCACAGAATGACACCCTTCAGCACAATGACACACGGAGGCCCCTTCCTTTGCCTGCTGTGCACACATCACCATGCTGCCCTCCTTTTAGGAAATCAGTCTCGGAACTTTCTGATTGCACATCGTGCTTCTGAAGGTGTCATTGCGTTACAACATTATCATATCCAAGGCAACTAGAAAGGCATACTTCCTTATGTGCTGTGTGATCACACTGTGGGGGTAGGAAGCTTCTGGAGGTGACATGACGCCACCACAGGTGAGTGAAGTCAGAAGTGTGGAGGGACATACCCCCTACGATAACCAAACACCGAGAGACGCTATTGGACGAAAAAGAGAGCTAACTTGGTGCCAACGGCTGTTGTTGGCACCAAGTCAGCTCTCCGTGGGTGTTTTTTTTCTGTGGTGCACCTATACTCAGTGAGTAGCACACTGAACGGGGCTCGAGCGGGCACACATGAGCAATGAAAACGGGCACCACGGGAAACTTTTTTTAGCAACATGTGCGTATGCTGTGACATGGCAACATGGCATAGGTCCATGTCACAGCATCCGCGCAAGTTGTTATAAAAACTGCCGAGCTGTGCCCGTTTACATCGCTCATGTGTCCCCTGTTAATTTACCCCATCGACAACTACTTGGCATGATGAACAAACTTAATTTTGTTTTGAATTGTCACGTGCTGTCCAAACAGTCCAAAATAAACAACATTTCTGAGAGGATACAGAAGCTTATGTCATATATTTCACAAATGTTTCTTGTCTGGCATACGTGCTTATAATAAGCAGGCTTATGTGGAGAAAATCATAAAATATCTGATTTGAATGTGCAGCCATTCATATGGCAAATCATAATTTTATCTTGCAACATATTTAGATGACTTTCTGATCATTTGAACTTCCAATAATTCAAACAAAATTTGTGGCTTCCTGGAATTTGAAATAATGAGTGTTTTTCGAGTTTAAGAACTGTTTGAGTAGATGTGAGTCACTCCTTGATGCAAGCAAAAGACTGCTTAAATGTGCACTAGTGTTTACAAACTCTGCAGACCACTACGCTACATTACTGCACCAACGGCAAAGACCAGGAGGGGCTCCTCGACCTCTATTCATGGCAGACGTGTTCCTCGAGATTGTTTGAGGACCCAAGCACTGCAGAGCAGTCACTGCACTTCAGAAAGCTTCGAAAGTCGGCTTAGAATGGCGAGGGAAGGAGTCATAGTTTTGGTTCCTTTTTGGTTTCTAGGCTAGGTAGGTGGTACAAGCTACCACCCATTATGAAGAGTACAGACGTAAGCATCCATCCATCTATTCAGGAGGAGTCAGTCAAGATCAAAGACTGTTCCAAGATGTAAGAAACCACATACCCATTTCACTGCTGGGAGGTCCGCCAAGAAACGAGCCGCCGCCAATGTTTTTGAACGGCATGTGAAACTGTTTGCCCTTGATCCTGTTGTGCGCATTTCTCTCGGCCTCGGTGTGGTTTCCAGACGAGCTGACTGCGCACGTGATGGCAGCCGCAAATTCGTCGACCTGAAAGGAGATTGAAACAAATGGAACACTCTGAACAGAGTCAAATTCCCAGGCAATAGTTTAAATGCAGTTGAATCTAGCTAATTCATACTCGAAGGGGATTGAAAATTTGTTTGAATAAAGCAAAGTTTATATTACCAGGAGTTTCCCCCCTTAGAGACACATAGGATGGGACCTGCATGTTAGCTTGAATTATCAGCAAGTTTTAATTAAGAGAGTTGGAATTAACGAGATTTGACTGTATTGATTCAAAGTTAATGGCAGCCTAGAGAATGTTTTAAAGGGCCTTAAGTTAAAATGTTGATTGCCTCAAAACCTCAAGGATGACACACCAAACATAATCAACCATACTGTGAACAGGCTATGCATCAAATTCATTGAAGTTCATTAAAATATCTATATAGAGAATAACTATGCAACACAAACTACTGCATTTGCTTTAACTTAACGGAGACATACAACAAACAGTGCAGACGCCTACTTTTCCACAATCCGTGTAGAGATCGGATCAATGTGAATTACAGAAGAAACCAGCAAATGACAGTCATAAGAGATGTTTAGGCCCGAAAAAGTATTGTGACATATTGAGCACGTCAATATCATGTTCAGAATCAAACTTCAGGTCGCGATTGTAAGTTCAAGATGAGGTAAGTTTTTCTCCTCTTTCGGCATTTTTCTCCGGCAAGGTCATCACCACAGAATCTAAATGCAGCCCACGCCTCTTCAATCACCGGTCCCCTTTCATAAATTGCTACGAGTGGCTCTCAGTAAGCCGCGGGGTAAAGTACACATGCAGGATTCCATTGCAAAAACATTGTGGTGGATGTAAATAACTATGCTAGTCGTTCAGTTCGCTCGAGATGTTGCCACATACATTGTGTTAACTGTTAGTGTGACAAGGATATCGGCGCTTGTTCACTTTTTACTTCTAAAGGAAGCACCGCATTTTATGGCCACTTAGATTAGCACCCTAAAGGAGCACTTTGCACCACACGAAACAGTTTTGGTGAGAAATCTTCAGTTCTATACAAGAACAGGAAAAAAAGAATGGTGCTTGTTCGCACTACCAGCACAGCAAGTGAGTGAGCACACCCCAGAACGTGCTCCAGTGTCGGACGACGTACCTCGAGGTCTGCGGGATCCACGACGTCCCAGGGGCTGTCGTTGGTGTCCAGAGCTTCCAATTGGCCACAAGTTGTAGAGACACTGTTGTCGCTAATTGGAGCATCCATGGACCCCTGGTCGAGCGAGCCGAGGCCGTCGGTGGTGCTTTCCTCGCAGGGACTGCTGTCGTTTTGGGGGGAGCCTTGATCCTGTAAGCGAGGGAAAGCACAAGGTCAAAGTCGAAGGAGAATGTACAGTCGCGTTTTAATGGGGTGACCTCAGAAAAGAGAGTCATTCGCACTCACGAGAGATGGGGAAGTGGATTGGCAAAATAAATGTGACGTACATATTAAATGACCGGAGGAGTCGAGGAAACTGACAAGGTCAGAATGACAGGGAGGAGTGTCAATTGTCCCCGCCTCCAGTGCAAGCTTGCTGCCTCTGACAATACTTCAATGTCACGTACACCTCGAGCGCGCACACATGCAGCAAGAGCACGACGAAACACATGGAGTGTGTGTTGGAGGCTGGATATTCGAAAGACGAACCTTGCCATTGTCACTCTGTCCGTGACTATGCGAAGCGCAAGTTCGTCTGCGAAGGCCGAGCTCCGATTGGTTCTGAATGAAGGATAGAGGGCAGACCTCAAGGCAGCTTTCTTCGAGGTGTACCCCACTATCGTTCAATTAGAGCCAATCAGAGATCAACGTCTTCCTGACGTCACCGCAACTCCTGCACGAGAAGGAGACGACTTGCTCTCCGCATATGGTCACTTACTTTCTAGCTGGGATTATTGTCTCGGTCACGAAGACGAGCCAAGGGAGAATGAGTGCAGAAATGACGTAGAAAGAGTCGCATGGAACACCACAACTATTGAAATAAAAGTGAAAGCGGAGGTAAATGTTATGTTTGCTGAAAAAAATTAGCTCTGCTATAAATGACTTTATCAGCCTACTTCGTATGACCAAACTGCCATTCTGTCAATCAGAGTCCAGTCACACAAACCTGTTGTACGACTATATATTTTTCCAGGGAGGATAAAACAAAGCATTGATTGAGTGAATAGGAATATTAACTGGACACCGCCTACGTGCTACCAGAGTCTCTCTGAAACTCCTAAACTAGAGGGGCTAACACATAAACTATGCAGTGAGTGTAGACTTGCTACATATAAAGCGCACAGAGGGAGCATGAACAGTTTTTTTGAGACATGTATTTACCGGAACAAAAGAAAAAAGAAAAACTGATAGAAATCATTTTTTCTTTTTCGGTGAAATGGCCTTTGGGCTGTCAGTGACCACGTGAAATGAGTAATTAAACGAAAAGAAAATACTTTCTGTAAGGAAAGTTGGAATTCTTATACCTTCCACAACTTGTACTCTGGTTTTGTTTTTCCCTACATTTGTGCCAATCCGTCACGCTTCTTGGTTTTGCTATTAGTGCACCACGTTTGAGTAAGGACGAGTTTACTTTTATTTCTTTCAAAAGCAAGTCAGCTTGTTTAGAATCTCAAGGGCCAAGCCCTCGCAGTCTTCGAGCCTTTTGCATCAATCAGCCCCCCTATTTAATAGACTGCCTGCGACAAATAAATGATTACAAGCAATCATTCGGGAGCTTTGTCTGCTGTTTTGAGCGAGTTAAAGAATGGCAAAAGAGATGTCCACGTGCGCCCAGGCACTTCATCAAGGAGCAAAGCTACTTCTTGCAGGACTTTTCGTCTGGCTCAAGAAACAGAAAAAAGGTTAATGTACCCGCAAGGCAGGCTCAAGGGCCATTTTGGGCAGCGCAATCCTTTGAATCTAAACGAAAAAACGTGTTTTTTCCTAAAACAACAAGCCTTTGGCCCTTAGGGTAAGAAACTACTGCACAACAGTCTCCGGTCAGTGAATCGGTGGCTCAGCATGTTAGCGCGACGTAGCTTGGAGCACTAGCAGCGGAAGCTCGCTCTGGAGAACCCAGGCATCCTGGGCTCAATCCTCACTCCTGCCTAATCCGCACCGAACGGGCATTGTGCCGGCCCGTGGTCGCAAATTGCCACCGTGCGGCGCACATTGAAGAACTCAGGCCGGCGGTAATACTGCAGGCGCAAACTTTTTTTTCGCCTACGGCGGAGACTACGGATGCCCCTTAGGGCCGACCGACCTGCCGAACGTAGGCACGACACAACTGCGATTTCCACTTGCACGCTCACCTCCGACTTGACGCTGGGGCTGGACAGGCTGGCAAGCTTGCTGCCGCCATCGTCCGACCGGGGGCTACCCTCACTGCTTGCGGTGGGGTCCAGCATGTCCTTGAGGGCGCCCGGTCCCCCTTCTCCTCCGCCCTCCGCCCCCTTGTGCTTCTTGTTGGCGTAGAACTCGGCCCCGTGGACCGTCTTCACGTGCTTCCTCAGAGAGCTGGGGTCCGTGTAGCGTTTTGTGCAGCCGGGAGCCTTGCAGACGTAGGGTTTCTGTCGGGGAACGAGGCACACACTCAGTATGCAGAACGTCGGAAATGCGTGCAAGCTCCCGGTAGAATGGCAGAGCTGTACCGAATTCAGGAATGCCTCAAAATGATCAGGAATGAACTACGGTTCCCAATAGAACATTCTACATAAACTGCACTTTCAAACTTCTAGAGCATCGACAATCGACATCTTGTAAACCCCGAGATGGGGAACGATAAAAAACGGACGAAAAAACGTTCCCCATCTCAGGGTTTACAAGATGTCGATTAATTACCAGCTCGCCTGCACTCTCTCACTGCTTACAATACTAGAGCAGTTCCCAATGGAGCATTCTCAATTATTATAAAGATAAAAACAGCGCAAAGAACGATGGATTGGATGAAGGAAGACACGGACAAAGTGCCTTCTCTCATCCAATTCGTCGTTTTTTCGTGCTGTTTTCATCTTTCCAAGTGTGTCATACCAACTCGCCCAAGCTTTAACTTTAGCAATTCTACATGAACTGCACTTTCAAACTACTAGACAGCACCATGATGTGAAGAATGGGTGACTTTCTTCAAAGGGGCAATGCAACAATTTTAAGTTCGAAAGAATTTGTAGTTTTAAATTTTTACACTGTTTATCTTGCCAAAAGAAAGGGAGGAACATCCTCAGTCTTTCGAAATATCAGGATTTCGTTGCATGATAGCTAAGAAAAGGGACAGAAATTTTTTGCAATTTCAACTGCGGGGTGGCAGCTTGGCAACATGTGCCATTATGTGCTCAATCTAATGCTTTATTTCAGAAATTTCGTCATTTTAACGTTAGTAAATGCGTCGAAAACCTCCTATCATTGACAAAGTTGCATTATATTCAGTTTTAGGGGCGCCACCTTCCCGAATGAAAAAAACCATTCTTCTCTTGAGCCGTTACTACTACGTCAGTCAAACTTTCTTACAGAAAAGCAAGCTTTTCGCTTCTCCCCCTCTCTCCTCCTCTTCAGCTTGCTCAAACCAACCTTCAAGGTGGACATGCGAATCGCAAGCAGAGGCCGCCTGCACTGAAGGCTCTCAAAAAAAGAACCCAAGCGGATCCTTCCTGTCTTCATTACAAGTCATTGCGCACGTGACTCGAAAGACGGTGCAAGTGTTGAGAGTGGTTTGGAGGCGCCAAAAATGTCAATTGTTTAACACTTTTTTTTGTCTAAAGAACTAACACGGGTAGGTGAAATTGGGTTTCGGTTCTTTAACCCAGACGTGACAGGGAACAGCTACCCCAATTATTTGACCAAAGTTCGAACATTGGCTGACCAACTACATGCTGTATAAATATCCACACAACCCCAATTATTATTATTTATTTCGAACATTGTTGCCTGGCCCCTTTAAATGTGAGAAACCATCAACTATAGTCATCTGAAAAGCTCTGGACTTCCAGCGCATAAAACTAAAAGGGGGCAGGGGGAGGGCAAAGTATGTTGAGTTGCTGGGCCCTGCACAGATGCACGACGTCTGATATTACGCGAAAGTAAGCTACTGTGCACGCTCAAAACGCAGTCCACAGCCCAGGAGACAAAGGTAACAGCGCAGAAGGCAGTTATTGGAATGGTCTATACTTCCCAAGCCAATCACATTTGCTAACTATGTATTTGCTAAGGCTGAAATGGTGATGCAGCTGTTACTTTCTGACAACTCCCCCTTAAAACCTAGAGGGCTGTTAGCCTGTTATAAGAGTATGGCTGCTGATCAAGTGCACAGCAGCTATGCTTTCCTACAGCTTTCTACCGCACGGGAGTACTGATCTTTTTCAAGAAGCCCTGACCCTAAATGTCAGCCTCAGTTTTAAGAGTACAAACCCCATGATCTAGTCACTGCAATTAGATGAAAATAATTAGGTCGTTTAAGCTTTTTTTAAAGAATGCATGTGCTCTGGATTTGATACCAAACAACAATGTTAATTATTACACTCAAATGAGCAAGGCAAAAGAGGAAGCTACCTACTCAAGTTCACATAGGTAGACCGAGCTTATGCTGTCTAAACACAAAGATCTCATCTGTTTTTACTTTTGAAGTTCACCATATTAGGCCACATGTACTAGAGCAGGGGCTCTTTTTTTTTTCTGAAATAATGCCTGCATTTCTAGACTGGTTGCGAAGGAACTCTGCCAAGCATCGGCATTGAAGCAGTAAAGCAGTGCAGAAGCCCAGATATTTTTTAAATACTAATGCATATACGCATACTGGGAAGCGTTTGGCCCATCTATGCTTCAATGAATGGCTCAGATCTTCTAAAATAACCTTTAAACTGGGAAAATATCATACTTTGGGACAGAGGCAACCAGGGAAATTTGAGAGCTTGGGGAACTTCTAAGGGTACTATGGGGAACCCAGTTTGAACCCATGTACTAGAGACACAAAACAGCATAATCTTTCTTCTACCAAATTCACTATCTGCATCAATAAGAGTAAAATACCAATAAATGTCAGGAAGCGTTCTCTAGTGAAGTATGAAACAATGTTATGTCTCGTTATGCACGCCTCTACTTCAAGCTTGATCGTAAGCACATATATTCCCAAGGACTTACTGTACTCCAGACAAACTGACCTCGTTCGAGTGTGTCCTGTTCTGATGCTTCGCTCTGTCTGACGCATTGCTGAAGGCCTTGGTGCATCCCGGGTACTCGCACATGTACGGCTTCTCCCCCGTGTGCGACCTTAGGTGTGTCTTGAGATTCTCCAACCGTGAATAGGCCTTGGAACAGCCTTCAAACTGTATGAAAAGAAACAAAAAAATGGAAGAGACATGTGCGACATTGTGACAGTTTCAGAAAATTTCTACCTCAAGGATTCTGGCCAGACTTTAAATAAACACAACATGGAGTGATATTGATCCTCCACAGGTTCCTATAATGTCTTGTTTGGTAGGTGCAAGCAGAGGAAATACCATAGAATACTGCACAAGCAGCCACCCAAAATTTTATAGACTTATCTCACCAGGCAGTTTGACTATGCCACTGCTGCCACAATGTATGGAGGGTACATTAATCTTTCTGCACGTGCCCAAACCTCGTTGAAATTTGCGCGCGAAGAGCACGAGACGGCACAAGTTGTCTCGGACACTGTTTCTAGCCTGTTGTGAACTAAAGTTATGGCGGCTTCCTTGAATGCGCTGAACGCTTGGTGAGAGCAGTCTATTGTCAGACCCTAGAGCAAATATGCAGATGGGACACGGGTTAGGGTGGGCTTCACCAGATAGCACTGACGCGTGCGTGTCGAGCTTCATTGCATTGCATGTGCATGCTTTGGGGAGTCACTGGCACAGGGGAGCATCTTAGTAAGCTAGGTGTGCTGAGAAGTGTGGGTGTCCATTTGAAAGGTCCTTTGCCTATCTTTTTAATGTTTCAAAAGTAGTGGATGGGCGCTTATGAGAATGTGGGGGGTGCCCTGCATTTTACGGTAGGAGGCCTCACACTGACGACCAATGATTTACTAAGAGATTTCGTTCAAGCCCACAGGCACAGCCAGCATGAAGAATCTTCCCCTCCGTAACTTCCTTCCTTTCGCGAAAAAAGAAAGCCCTCCTCTTTCCTGCGGAGTGTACAGAGGTATGTACCCCAGAAACCTGCTCCTTAGGAGAAAAGAGGGTGAGAAAGTACGGAGAGGAGGACACTTGGAAAGGACATTCTGCTAGGCAGAAAACAATTCTGTAGGATGGCCTCTAAGTCTTTTTCTAATGAGACATTGACAGCAAGTCCGATGCCTCCCAGTAGTTGTCATTTAAAGTTCTTTCCTATTAGTTTATGAAAAAAGAAAAGAATGCAAGATGATGTTTTCAGACAAAGCTCTAGTTTAAAGATAGTGTGAAGAAGAATATAAAGTCCATTGCTATGTACATACTTCTTGAAGTATATTTCAATAACCTCTATTTTACTTGAAGTACATTTGAAGAGCATTCATTTATCATTTAGTACTTGGAGAACATCAAATCTGGACCATGAGAAATGGCTCGAACATAACAAAATCACTTGGGTGTCCATCACAAGCCACTGCTTTTCAAAGTGAAGGCTAGGTTTTAATTTGTTTTGTTTATGTAATAACAATATTTTTATTGCATTGACATATGATGGAAACTAGAGCCCACCAATAAAAAGGACTGCGCTGTAAAAGTAACTGTGACACACTGAAATTTCATCAAAGTGGATTGACATTTCTTGAGGTGAATTTCACCGCAGTACTTCTTAGTTCACTTCAGGTAAAGTACAGAGTAATTAAAATCAGCTTGTACTTTACCACAAGTATACTTTATAGATGCACCTTCTGCAAAGCAAACAATTAACTTCTAACAATGTTTTGAAGTTGACATACTAAGCAGACATATGGGCGTTGTTTATACAACAAATTCACACTATCTGCAGAACGTTATTGTGCTAGTGCTGCAAAGATTTTGTTTGATCCCGGAGATTTCACAATAGAGAGGGTCTATGAGAGGTCAGGAACCACACCTTCGGAGTTATAGCCGACGCTTTATAGAAGCTTCCTACTTCTCAGGCAATGCCGACTTCCTCTCTATTTAAAGGGGCAGTGACACATCAAAATCATATTTTTTTTTTATTGTTTGAAAGGATTGAAAACAATGCCTGGACATTACCCTCAAAATTGGAAACTTGGGAATTCAGTATTTGTTAAGTAAAAAAACAATTTTCAAATGCCGAATTTTAAGTTCCCGTGCGATCTGCGCCAGTGGAGTGACGTCAACATTCGAGGGCTCCTGAGAGTCCAGTTTCTTTCGTGCCTCCGCTCTGAAAGCTAGGAGGTGAGAGCTATAGCCCCTCCATCCCGGGAAATGTGGCGCCATTCATTGTTGTGGAAATGTTCGAGGCATGTGCCGCGCACCAATTCTAGGAAATTCATGGCGTCTGAAGTCCAGCTCAGTGCTGAGTTGTGCCGCCATGATCTTCCCAAAGGCTGCACGTGTGCCTCGTGCATCGACGCACCTTGCGCTACTTTTGAAACATGAAGGACCTTTAGTAAGAGTGGGAGAAGGGCACCGGGCGCCGGCGTCGCGGGAACCACCGTACCCAAAAACCGGTTTCCTGCGTGGGCGCTGTGCTGCTTATCGCTTCGAGCAGACGGCGGTGCCCTGGCGGTGTCACAACCGAAACTGCGATACGCAGACACCGAACCGAGTTGTTTTGACCGTTTGACGATTTCCTTCTCGAAGATTGAGAGGTCGTCGGGCGCCAAAAAAGACCCCTTTCTCCGATTCCCTGATTCACCAATCACCTTCTGCTACATGCGTCGAGCGCCGCCATGTCTTTCGAGGAAGGATAAAAATCCAGAAGGCGACATCACATCGGACTCTGATTTTTGGTATTTCAACAAGAAGAGCCATAGTGCGTTCGCAATTGCGTTAAAAAACATGTTTTACGGTTGCAGTTATTAAATATTATAGAAATGTCGCCTACAAAGCTTCTGAATTTCATGATTCTTGACATCACGGATCAAAAGAAGCGAGGAGGCGAAAAGCGGGAGAGGAGAACGCCAAAAATAAAAAGAAGCGCGCACGCCTAAAAAAATTTTTTTTCGCGATGCGATTTTTTTTTTGCATGTCTATGACTACAATTGTGCATCGTTTTAGACAATAAAAAAAAATATTACCTCTGGGGTGTCAGTGCCCCCTTAAGTGCACCGCCGCGATAGTGCCACTTACTGTGCACTTGTGTGGTTTCTCTCCCGTGTGCCGACGCATGTGCACGACCAGCATGTACTGCGCCTTGAACGGCTTCTCCTCCCGGGAACACTCCTTCCAGTGGCACACAAAGGACTTCTTGTTGCCGTGGATGTGGTCGTTGTTGATATGCTGGGACAACAAACAATGCAACTGTCAGTAAAGTCCAACAGTGAAGATGGGTGAGACTTTTTGTGCAGCAGTTCACATATGTAAGTACCACATTTTCCGGCGTACAAGTCACGGTTTTGTTTACAAATTTTCCGTCACTGCGTACGTCCCGTTCAACGATGCAACTTGAATGCAATTATTTTCTTAGAGTATGGACACAACTGTGCACCTTTGCCGCGGAAGTTGTATTTCTCATTCCATTTGTCGACGAGAGTGCTGCAACTGGTTCCCGCTTGTACCTGTATCGAGATTGCAATACATATGCGCTGGCTTGTCAATGCAGTCTCACCACACCAACCCTACAAATATATATGAGTGACTCACACCTAAACTTTTTTGTGAGAACACCTATTTATAGCGGGGTGCAACTTACAGACCAGAAAATATGGTACCACATATTTCGGGTTCTTTGTTTTTGGGTTTTAAATTTTTCAAAAATCGGGGAGGTAGAACTCGAGCGCTATTTTCCTGTCCTATAATTGGGGAGGAATCGAGTTTACCTAAAAACCAATCCGGAATTCGGGCTTTATCAGGTCCTATTTATTAAGGGGAAATACCTTAAATGGTTTTCCACTCAACCAAACGTCAACAAAGCCTATGATACAGGAACGATTCTCAGCACACAAAATTGTTTCACCTTCTGAACCATTCTGAAGCAAATCTATGCCGAGGTTACGCAAATCGAAGAAGCTCTTGACAATCAAACGAGTGACCGAGGGAACACGTTTGAGACAGATTCAGAATTGTTTCAATTTTCCATAAATTTAACTCATTTCAAGGCTGGTTTTCAAGAAAATATGATGTTCAACCTGATTTTTATAAAACCGGATGGGGGCAAAAATTGGGTAATATCGGGTTTTACCCGAAAACGAAGAGCCCTACATATATTTCTCTGTAAAGGACGCCTTCGAATGTAGGCCTAAACACCCTTACATCCTGACACATCAACAAAAATATTGTATAATCTTTTTTTTAGATATTCATTTTTGAGATACTCATTTCTGAAATGGTCAACTTATACACAGCAATCTATGGTAGTTGAATTAACTCTTGGGAGCAACGAAGTGGCTGATAAAACAGACAGCTGTTGTTGTAAAACAAGATACACAACACAAGCAGACCTGGCACACATCAATCTTCTCTAACTCTGACAATATGCCTTTTGAATGTTGTAATGAATGCACTTTTAATTTTCGGCTCTGCAAGTCTTGAACTGTGTCCAACTTGGCTAGCCACTAAGCTTGCCAATTTTCTTTTGTTGCCAAGCGGCCAAGCCAAGTCAAGCCAAGCCAAGCCGCTCTCATAATGGCTGCAATTGCGTGGTTGCGGTAATCAAACATGAAACCAACCAACGCGCACCCCTAGCGAAGCTGGGGTCAAGGAATTGCCCACCCCGGACATGCTTTGTCCGTCAGATGCATTGATGTCAACAAACACGCCGCCGTCTGTGATCCACTTTCGAACAGCGATAGTGTGAAAGTGGTTAGGCCTAAGAATGCTCGCGTTGCTCTCCGTGCTGAGTGAGCTTGATAGGGCGCTTTTTTTTGGGCAAAAGGCACGCCAAAAGTGTCCTCAAAAAGGTTTGCAATATTTAGAGCATGATTACTGTGGCGCACCCACGACCAGCCATGGGCACGCCTCCGTCAGTGGAGACGTGCCACAGTACCCTGCCATGTCATATTGGCACCTAAAAATGACATTTGCACAAGGTGTGTGGATGCAAAAATGTTACCCCTGCGTAATCAACACCCATCCCCCCCCCCCCCCCCCCCCCCCCCACCCAACCCAAATATCGGTTCATTTTTCGAAAAAAAAAGTGTGTTCATTATGTGAGAAATTATGGTATATGTAAGGATGACCTGCCTCAAACTATCTGGAGCACTACAACAAAGAAAATGCCAGCACAGCAGCTTCCTGGATAGATGCTCAATGTATGTTCAGAAAGCCTAGTGAAATTAACCCACTAAATTGCATTGCAGAAAAGGTAACTATAGACATCGCGCTTTGCACTAATTATTGCATCAGGAAATGATGAAATGTTACTCAACTGAGTTATCACTGATGTATGCTCCAAAGACCATCCAAAATGTTTTCCCTCAGTCTTTTTGAAGCATGCAAAAATAGCAAACCATAGCCGTCTACAAAAGGATCCTACCAATCAGCAAGACAGTTGTGACGTTCTGATCTGTAACTCCAGCCGGGACACTGGACAAGACACTGGACGAGTAGAGAGAGCACTTTTTTGCCTTCATTGTTCGTTGGGCTTTTTATGCTACTCACAAAAGTAGGAGGGGTACAGCCAACACAGCCTGGCGGTACACAGGGTCCCAAGGATGTCATCGGGACATCCTAACATTTCATGGACGACATGCACAAGACAACCGAGTACTGTGACTACTGTACATATTTTCACTGTAACTCAGCGAAGAGTAAACGCGGCGGACCCTTCTTGGAAATCAGAGTGACAGAGCCAGAGCATGTGGCCGCCCTTATCAAAGGTGCAGGTGTAAAAGCGTAATCCAATCATTAGGAGAAGAAGGGAAGGAGGAACTACACTCTTACCAGGACACTTTTTTTTGTGTCCCATAAGTCTCTTTTTTACCCCTACAAGAAGTGGCTTTCCTCTCTCTACCCTGCCTGTGGCATCGCATGTCTAGTGAGATAGTGCAGTCACACGTCTCCCTCCGACACGCCGACTGGCTGGATGGGACCGTATCTTTCGACGTTTGCCACATTACGGTGAGACGGGGCAAGAATGGTCACAGTACTCGGACCATCGATTAGGTGCAGGGCAATGCCAAAGCTGGTACCTTGACAAGGTCGTCCTGGGTGGGGAACTCCCGGGTGCAGTCCCTCCAGTGGCAGTTGGTTTCGATAAAGTCCCCAGGTTCGTCCTTCATGTCCCCGGATCCGTCCCTGTCGTCGTCCATGGATGCCCCATCCAGCTCCTTCTTCACCCGCCTCCTGGCCTCCTCCGTGTCCACCGTGCTGCTCACAATGTTACTGGCCGTCTCCCGGCCACTGGCGGCGTCCTGCAAAAGCCAACATCAAACCGGCGAGGCTGAGTCGGCGCTAATACTTCAGTGTGTCTACGTCCTCTTGGAGGAAACGAGCTTCACTGTCCCCTTGACAAGACGCAACCAAATGCAAGGGCCATAGTTTCTCATGTACTAGAACAGCTCCTCTGAAACATCTCCGGCTTGAAGAACGTCCATCTCTCTAGGTCGATAGCTGAGGACCCCTTCCCGGTATCAACGATCATGCGATGGAGCAGCGTAGAAGCCTACAGACCTTGTAGACGTGTACTAGAAAATCTGTACTATAAATGTGTTCTAGAAACCCCTGGGTTTCTAGGAACCCAGCCCAAGAACTTGTGTACTAGAAAAAATGCCGAAAGGAACACTAGGGTGAAGAGAGACCAAAAATGGACAAGGCCTACACCGCCACTTTGATGCGTCAAGTTTCCATCTTGAAATTCAAAATAATTTCTGAAGCAGAAAAAGGTAAAAATAGCGAAAGGCATGCAAACAATAGGTGTGTGCTTGTCATTAACATAATTTAAATTTTGTTGCTCATTTTATTATGACTTTTAATGACTAGCTTGCTCGTGTTTTCAATTTTGTTTTAGGTCTGTTTTTATATCATTTCTAAATTCAAAGCAATGTGATTAGTACTCATCTTAATTGTGCATAGCAAGCAGGAAAATAAGAATCAACCTGAAGAATTGTTTCACTCTGCTTTGTGTCACAGAAACCGGCTGTTCCAAAAACCTGGGAAAGGGGGGGGGGGGGGGGGGGAATCGTGCTGATGTCTGTGGAAGAATAATGGCCAGGGAAATAAAGGGCCCACCGGGCCGGGCCTATGAGCTCAGGGCTAGGCGCGTGTCAGGTTACGCAGGGAGGGACTGCATGTTCGGTGTTTCTTGGTATACACAACCTAGAGTGGTTTTGGGGGGTACACAGGTCTCTGCAGCCCCAGATTTACGAGGCTGAGGCGAGCTGGGGCTCGCTGTTGGATTGTGTTTTTTGTCAGCGCTCGAATTACCTGGCGGGTCTTAGTGTTTAGAAGAACCCTGCTTTAGGGTCAGGGGTCAGACCGAGGGGGCAACAACCTACCGTGACAAAGAGAGTGTGGGAACTGCGGGGTCGCCAGGACTGGCAGTGCAAGAGAGAACTCTAAGGCGGACATCGCGAGGACATCGAGGGATGCGGCGAGACCCTGTCGCCGGCCCCACGCCAGGCACCCGATGAAGCTTCCAGTGAGTGTGCGACAGCAAAAAGTGGGCGTGCGCGGCCAGTGAGCCGTGCCCACGGTGTGCCAAGCCACCCGCCGGAATTTTTCCACCTCGGACGGACCGCGCAGGGAGACGGCAGCACCTCTACGCCAGATGAGACTTTTTCTTTGCACTCACCTATCCTCCTATTTTAGTCTACCATTTGGACTCTCTTAAACTTAGCATTTTTCTAGTACTGTCTAGGCAACCCCAAACATGAAATTGTAACTGTTGCACTGTGTGTACCTGTGCTACCTTCCGTTTGGTGTCTACGTGATTTTTTGCAAATTATATAGTGCCTAATTATCTAATATACCCCTGTCAAAGCAAACTTAATTTATATATCCGACACACGCCTCCGTCTCTCTTCATTGGTAAGACTCTCCACCAAAGTGTGGCCCTATCGCTCGGTCAGCGGTCCCCTTCTTTCACATCGTCACCCGGGAGGCCTACCGTCTTCCTGTGGCACTTTGTACATTGTGTTTGTCACAGATTTAAATATATAGAAGTAAACAAGAAATGCTAGTTAAAGTTTAGCAGCATCACCTGTGATTAAAACATAAAGATAGAAAAACATAGATTACAGTCTAAAGTTGAACTGGTTGAAAGTGCATATTGATAAACTAGTAACAGTCCTCAAATTATGCATTCTATTTGTGAACTTCGTCTGCTTGTCACATATATATTTAAGTGCTCTTTCTATTTTATAAACACTAGTAGTCACTCTGAAGCCAACAATTGTATATCACAATTTTATCTCCATAAGAAGTAAGACTTTTTATGTGTAAAATGACATATAGCCAGCTAAGCTAAGCCAAAACCCAAAACACACTCACATGTGCAGATGTCCCATAGAGATCACATTATGACCATCAAAACATACACAAAAATTAGTTGCCGAGATAAATGATAGCAAATACTAACTGTTTCACACAGAATTCTTTCATTATGATTATTATCACCTCTAATATTAACTTCTCTCCAGTTCCGCTCTCCTCACTGTTTCCGTAATGGGCTAGCGGGTAAGCAAGATACGTTGAAAACCGGTGACTGTGTCATGTTTTGTAGGAACACATGCGAGAAAGAAATCCTCACCGCGGTCTCTAATTTCCCTGGGGCTGAGGTCAGAATCACAGGACTTGGGAGGATGGTCTGGGACGCAAATGCACCCGCCGAAGGCACCAAGAGAGGCCTCATCAGTTGGTGGAGGTGCTGGAGGTGAGCCGGAACGTTCGGAGCACCAACGCCCATGGCTGGACTTAGGGTTCCTAAGAAGTAACATACCAACGTTAACTCGTGGCACAAGAAAAGCAGGGCCACAGCCAGAAGGCCCGAGGGCATTCCATAACTGCTAACAAGTTAAAAGGGACGTGAGGCGTTTACTCTCGACATTTGCCTTCCACGAAGGCAAAATGCAACCGCACTCCGTTTCATTTTACGATAGACCACAGAAGGCGCTGTGAGCCATCGAAGCCCATCCAATGCCGCATCTGTGTCACGTAACCTTCGGGAGAAACGCAGTGATGTGCGGGGCACATGGTCATGTGATACGTCCACTGCGCTGACTTGGCTAGGATGGCTTGTAGTGTCCTCTGCTGTCCATTCATTTTATTTGAGAATATTGAAATATTTGAGATTATTGAGAATATTTGAGAATATTTGAGAACATTGGAAGGTGAAAACAAAGTTTACCTAATGCTACTTCCCTGTCCTCTAAACTGTGCTGTAGAGAGAAACTAGAAAGGCAGTCAGACTCGTGTTAATAATTCCAGGTCAGCCATTGCTGTCATTATTCCAACTTCAGCATGATCATGCTGAATAAGCACTGAGGTGCCAAGGACAAGGACACATAAAAGACATAGACAGGAAAAATGCTTGTCCTGTCTACGTCTTTTACTTGTCCTTGTCGTGGCAATTCAGTGTTCATTATGTATAAGCAACTAGCCCAGCAGGTCATTTTGACTATATGATCATGCCCTTGATGCAGTTTTCAATGAGCATGAGCTCCAATCAAATAGCGTGAAGTCGTCTTCAGCCAAACTATTAAGGTGCTTCCACACGAAACGGGGCATTCAGAAGACATGACCTTCTTATTTCTAAATGGCTTCTGCCGTGGAGTGCATGCACCGCTGCAGCGACTCAGTTGCCCATGCATTAAGCAGTTGTCAGTTACACAAATATTTATCAGTCACTGAACCAGCTGAAGTGTTTTCTCTGAAATGGTGATGGTTGGGGAGTCAAAACGTTACTAGGCCATTTAACCGGCATTAAAGAAACACCTCGGAAAGTGACAAACATGGGCCCCCTCATTGCAGCATAAAGGACACATGCAAAGGAAAAAAAAAAACTTTTTTTTTAACAGGCTAGATGGAAAAAGAATATTATAAAACAAATTTACAAGGAAGAAAAAAAATTTTACAGCTATATTTACGGCGCAAAACAAATTTGTATTTGGCGCCCGCGGGATCCGCCGCTGGTCACGTGGTAGGCCCACGCGCCACCGCACTGCGTCGGCGCCGCCGCAAAGTCACGCCGCCGCCGTACGCTGAGCGGTGTGCGACGCCGCTTCAACGCGTTTCTCAACGCCGCCGTCGCCGCAGAAGTTCGTCTGCTTCGGGGCGCCGCCGCCGTCATCTGACCGGCGCACAGGTCTATCACGCCTGCTTGCGCTTTTTCAGGAGCTTCCTTTGGGCTCTAAAAGGTACTTATTAATTTTAGTTTTCTGTTATACTTGAAACAAAGATAAATAAGTTACTTTTAGAGGCCATAGGAAGCTTCCGAAAGACTGCAAGCACCACGTGACAAACATGGGCCATACACGTGATAAATAAGGGCCACTTTTCCGCGGCGCCCGCGGGAGCCAACTACAAATTCGATAGCGCCGTAAATATAGCTCTAAACATTTTTTTTCTTCGTTGTAAAATTGTTTTGTGACATCCTTTTTGCATCGAAGCTGTTTAAAAAAAAAGTGTTTTTTTTTTCCCTTGCATGCGTCTTTTAAGTTCTTGTTGAGCGCCTTAAAAGGAATGAAAGACATTAAGCTTCTTTTTTTTTTTTACTTATTCCAGGAAAATGTGTCTCAATAAACTACCTCAAGAGTAACTAGAACAAGCTGTTGCCGAATTTCGAGCACCATTCCAGAAAAAGACACATGTGTCAGGCAGGACAGAGCAAGTGGTAACAACTTACCAGGCCTTATCCTAGTGATTGCGTAGCAGGGAAAGAAGGGAGAACACAAAGAAATGTAGCAGGCAGTCCTTTACCACTCTTCATGGCAAAGAAGGTGCTTTGGAGGTAAGGTACGTGCGTTGTCAAAGGCGCCTCACCTGCCGAGAGGTGCCCATAAGAGCCGCTGGCGCTGGAGCTCCTCGACCCATTCATGAAGGAGACCAGGGAGTTTGGAGAGAAGCGAATCATGGAGTTGATGTCGAAGCTCTCCGAGTAAGGGGAGCTCGACAGGGCCCGCTTGCGGCCCCTCACTCCTGCACGTGGACTAGTCAGTCGAGATCCTGCAACAAGAAGCACCCAGAGCTACGTCAACGAGAGGCCAACCCCAAACAGCAGCTGCGCACTTTGTAGCCCCTGAGAGCATCGGTTCTCAAACCGGGTTCCTTGAAACCTAGGATTCCCCCAGAGTAGTTCCCTCATGGGTTCCCTGAGCTCCTGAATTTCCTTGACTGTTCCTGCTCTCAAGTAAAGCATTCTAGCAGTTTATGCACTAGTTCTTCAAACCTCAGCCTCTCATTGATGCCTAATTATTAGCAAAACAATCTATACGGCGTGTATTATTTTTTACGTGGTCTGTAGGCTTCTGTGCTGCTTTATTGCAAGAATGTCAATGCTGGGAGGGGTTTCTCGCCCACCTTTAATGACACATGCGGGTTCCTCAAGATTGTAATGTTTGAAAGCCTCTACTATAAAGGGTCGAGAATGAAAAATTTAAAGTTCCTAGTTGTTTTTTGCTTTATTCTGCTTGAAATTCTTACTCAATGCAACTTAGATTTCAGACTACTGAGCAAAGGCATGCATTTTCCCCTGGCTCTGCAATGTGGATAAAAAATCGGCTTTTCAAATCGGGACAAACATTAATTACCTTAACTATAAAAGAACTTAAGTGCAAAAAATAAAAATCAGGTAAATGCATCGGCTACACTTCAACAAAAGTAATTATTTGTGGGACGTCTAAGAGTGTAATATGCCCACCTTCTGCTGAGAAAGCAATGTCTGGGGTCATGGCAGTGCTTTGGGCATGGAAGTCCATCAGGCCTCTCTGGCCCAGGGCCGCCATCTGCTGGAGGTAGTCCATGTGAAGACCTGTAACAGAAGACAGGTTCTCACGCCATGGGTTCTCAAACCAGGTTCCTTGAAACCTAGGGTTCTCCCAGAGTAGCTCTATGGGTTCCTCGAGCTCCTGAATTTCCTTGACTGCCGAGCTTGACTCCGTTCTGTGGACTGACCCACTTCACGGCACGGAGTCAAACTCAACAGTGAACAATGTGCATTCTCTTTCGTTCTTAGAGCTAGGTCCTCTGTAATGCACCCGTGCCTTAACGGTAAAATAAAAAAATAAAAAAAAAAATAGGATGACAGCCGTGCTTCATTTATAGTGTCACTTTGTTGCTGCTTGATGTTTAGAAAGATTAATTGTTATAGCTTTTGTCATGTCCAACAGAAGGACTCTCTGCAAGCACAACCACAAAACTCCTGAGATCAAAACCTGGGTCACTGAAAAGAAAACGTTATCAACTCTTTGCTCCTTTAGCGTTTTGTCTGCTTCCTCCTCCCCGTCCCGTCCTACCCTCGCCGTACCTTCTCGGGTTGCAGCGGACTATAATAATTCATTTATCTTCAATGCCCCAAGGCAACAACAATGTACAGTGCCCCCAACAACAACTGAGCGATTGCTGGCTGGCAAATCGGAAATCCGTCCGTAACCGGACATTCTGACTAGCTAACCCGGGTCGGGTAGCAATGGGGAGTAGAAAGTGACTACGGGTAGTTGGGACGGTGGCCGCCATATCAGCCCCGAAGTTGCAAAAGGTGCGCGATTTCGTAACGGCGTTCACCATATCTGGCAGAAAGTGCAGAGAAGTCCAAACGGCCAACGGTACCTCACTGTAGAAGTTTTTCATTGGACCGCTGTGGACCACCGAGGAGGACTCACCCCTGTGCTCGAGAGGGCTGAGCACGCGCATGGCGAGCGGGGGGCTTGGCTGGAAGGGGCTGTACACCTGGTCCATGTAGGGGCTGAGCCGGAAGGGCGAGTGAAGCGCCGCCGCCACGGCAGCCACATCAGCGTTCTGCCGGCGCTGCTGCTGCTGCTGGTGCAGGTGCTGCTGCTGCAGGTACGCCATGTCCTGCAGCCCCGCCGTGAGGTTGGCACCCGACAGCCTGCGCAAAGGCGCACTCTCTGTTATCACCGTCCTTTTTTCATAATGGATGTGAATGAAGTCTAGATATAGCAAAATACACATCCAGCTCATGTTTGAGATCGGTATGCTCGAATTTTAAATGAACTGCCTGAAGGGCACACACAATGGCAACACTCAAAAATGGTGGAGCCTTCAAAGAAGTCTCGTAACTTAAAGACAAAAGAGGTAAACGATTAGCCAAACATTGCCAATCACAACTGCACTTGATTGGAATGAGACATTTTGCAGCACCTTTTTGAGCATCAAAAAGAACTTCTGACGCTGATCGTACACTTCATTCCATTCGTTCCTTTGAAAATACTATGCTAATATTCGTGCGTTGGCCTGTCCAATTAAAAGACAATGCCTTATTTACCTTCTCTGCAACCAGTCCTTTGCATTCACTACACACCCCAGTTTGATTCTCTTAAACACTCAACTAGCTGATTAGTTGTGCTTTAAAAGCACAAAACACCACAGCAACCGCTGCTTTTGAAACATGATGACTGAAAATGAACATAAGCTGGACATTCATCTTCGGACACAGCGCGAACAACAGACGTGGACGAAGAAGAAACACACGGGACGAGCGCTATCAAATGAATTATTTGAATAGGAAAACACAGGAAAACGACCATTCATCTTCTGCAGCTAGTTAACCCCCCGTCTGCGTATTACGAGACACTTTCATAGCGGCGTGTTGGCACCTGTTGCTATCCCAAATTCAAAAACGCCACCTCACTGTCCAGCAGTGCCAAAGACGGTTGGCAGACACACGAGGTTCCCGCCCTTTTTATTTGATACGCTTCTACTATCTCTCTAGACACTTGGTCCCTGTGTCTGAACAAACCTTCAGTGCCTCTGAACCTCGGCTCCCAGTTAGAATCGCGACAATGCATTGCAAGATGAGAGTATGCACACCCTTTTAACGAACTCTGGTGCTCTCTTAAACGGATGTTCAAACAGCGCCCTGTTTGGCCAATATACACCCGCCCGCATGAAAAAGGTATCCTATACACTGCTCCAACGGTGCATGAAACGAACTGTGTGCCATGCTTTACAGTGCAACCATGACTACTCAGATTTTTCCGCTTACTAAACGCCCGTTCTACGGCGGGGCAAATCTGGCTCAGCTTATTTTTGGCCGAAAAAACGACACTCATACCGTATCTTGCTGCGATCCCCTTTAATCCGTGCGAAACGCGGTGAACGTAAGAAATGGAAGCCACCTTCTTTTTGTTATTCCCTTCCCGCTCAGCACAGTTTGTTGCTGCATTGGCCCTGAAACTCTTCTTTGCTTTTTTCGCAGGCAGCGGTAATCACCGGATCTGGAAAACCTGCTTCTCGGAGCCTTGCTATTTGGTCTAAAACGCTCTCCTTCATTTTGTGCTCGCGCGATTTCGACAGCGCATTCCGGACACAAGACACAGCAATACCGTTTTTTATCAGCTTTGAATGGGCGGACCGGAAATCGAGCAGAGACTTAGCGGTTCTGGGATGGCGAGACCAACATACATGCTCATGCGTAACATCGATACTGAGATCCAGAAACTGAATGTGGTGTTCTTTGGGGGTTGAATTTGGGATAGCAACACGTGCAAACACGCCGCTATGAAAGTGTCTCGTAATACGCAGACGGGGGGTGAACTGCAGAAGATGAAAGGTCGTTTTCCTGTGTTTTCCTACTAAAATAAGTCAGTTGATAGTCAGCGCTCGTACCGTGTGTTTCTTCTTCGTCCACGTCTGTTGTTCGCGCTGTGTCCCAAGATGAATTCCCACCAACTCGCCCGACTATCCATTCTTCTGAGCTGGACATCTGTAAATGGTCATTTTAGATATATAATGTTGTTAGAATGAAATCATTTGAGTAGCAACTTGAATACTTAATTCAAGTTCTGAAGGTTGTAATAAAAGTTGAATTCTTCATCAAGACAAAAAAAAAATTAGTCTCGTTTAATTATGCATACCATAAGCATGTGAAGTTTTAAAAACCTTGTTAAGGCTATTCCCAACTTTCCAATTCAGTGCTAAAGTTAATTTAGCTTTAATTCTGATTTTATTTACAGTGACCTGGAACAGACAGATGCCTATACTATAGGAGCGGTAACTAAGCTAGCGATTTCACATAAAAAACATATCATTCAGCCTAGCCACACCTAACCTCGGTTATTCGTATATCGTCTCGCTATAGCTAACTACTCTTTTCTTAAATTCCGGGTTTGAAAACGAACTATAATTAATGATGCACACAACTCGTCAAGATATCTCGGTTCACCATACATACTAGCGGGTTTATTTCGCAAATTTCAGAGTAAGGTAGGGTTGTCACGTCAATGTTCACTAAGTCCTTATGGTTTTTTTTTTTTTTTTTGTGTGTGTGTGTGTGTGTGGGGGGGGGGGGGGGCTTTTCCCCATAGCGCACGGCTGTACCGCGGCGAAGCGAGGTACGCAAAGTCGTAATCTGTACTCCCCAGGTGTTGCTTTTCCGCAATGCACCAGTGTGTAATGAGATGCGCACTCAACGGCGCTAACTAACCCACCCGAGCACACCGTGAGAAATGAATGGCATTGCGAAAACCCCCGAGGACCACCTGTCAATATTCAATACAAAGATCAAACCAGGTAGTACGTTATTCGAAGCACTAATAGAAAGTTTCAAAAACTCTCACAAGACTACCGTAACAATTCGTCAGCGTAGACACGGCTAATCTGTTATAGTTGTAGTATTGACCAAGTCCAATTACCTTTTGGTGCGAGGTTGGCACGAACTCCTCACATTTTTGCAAAATGTAGCACGGCAAGTGCCGTGGAGCAGTTTAAATAGCGCAGCAATTACATCATTGCTGAAATGGTTATGAAATTATGAGAAACACTACAGCTTGACGTGTATCACCACACACAAAGACCTTCACCTACTGGCGACATGTAGTCACAATTTGTGCTTTATACAGTACGTTTGGGCATATATTGCCACGCGCGTAGGCGAGCAACCGCGTGCGTGGCCAAATCGTTACCGCGCTTAACTGTCGCGCGAAAGTCTAGGTTCGATTCCAGTCGGTGGAATGTTCTTTTATTTCTTCATTCAACATTGCGTTCTCCTGAGTTCGAGAACATTCTCGACTGATCGAGTTCCGAATGCCCTCGTTGCCGAACGTTCTAGGTCGATTGTTCCAGAAGCCAACGCGCGTACATCAGGGGCTCCGCGGGGCGCTTTGCAGTCAGTCTCGCCCCAGCGCTCGATCCTACGGTTTCGCCGACATCGACGCCAACGACGCTCTCCTGCTTTCTTCTGTTTCATTTCTCTTTTATTAATTTGGGCAAAAGTTCACCCATGCATTAAACGTTTAGTTTACATCAGTTTTCGTCGCCTCATCACTTCTCATTCATGACAATATGGCATAGAAATGATCATGTATCCGGGGGCAAGCACGGGTCATCAGATGCCCCAATGTGCCCACCTCGCCCCCTAGAAGTGATACCAAAGCAAATTACGACATGAAGTAAATATTAAAAAAAAAGACTAGCATAATTTTTTTTTTTTTTTTAAACTATGGCGTTGTTGAGATTGTGAAGCATAGGTACCCTCATAAAAATAAACGATGAGTTTCCATTGAGTGTCTAATGTATTCAATAACAATACATTAGAAACCCAATGGAAACCCATCGATAATTTTGTAAGGGTAACAAAAAGTATCGCCCTCGAAGGATCCTCTATTACAGAATCCCAATGCCTAGTTGGAAGCTTACACAAGAATCAAAAGAATAACCAAAAAATAGTACAAATATCTTTAAACTTGCAATCTATCGGCCTTTTCCGGATTGGTCTGGATCAAACACATTTTTCAGATGGCACTTCGCCGTAACGCTGGAGCTGCCCAGAGAGTAGATTTCGAAGTGCGTGCAATGGCGCCGTAAAAGACGGTGAGGGCCTCGGGCGTGCATTTGGAACAATGAGATGATTCTGGGCCCCTGATTGGTAGCATTTGAGCAAGCCGCACCTCGTCCTTCCCGCAGTGAAACACGACATCTTTCCCGATAACGCCAACGTGGCGAAATAGGCGATCAGGGACAGCGCTTGGTTAGGAAGCAGCAGCTCATGTGCCGTAAACCAAAAAAGGTTTTAAAACGAAGGGAAATGACGCCATCAGATTAGTTAGTGCGGGGTGCCAATGAGCCAACGCAAACCGGTCAACAGTTTACCATCGGCGGTACGGCCTGTCACCAACCAGCGAAGGGAACACCTGTTGCCCCGATAAGTTATACCTCATAACCGTCGTATTGGAACAGGTCGTCGACTGCTGCCGCCGCGGTTTCGTCTTCAGATCTTCAGATAAGCGTCCGCAACTTCCAAAAAAACACGGTGTCACGCGCAAGAAATACGTCAAGGAGATTAATTTAATCGACTCACTGATTGATTACCGGGCGTTTATGGCCGAAATAATCTCTCCAGTGCGCCGAGCACATTAACGATCGCGAGTAAAGGACGATTTTAAAAGAAAGAAGAGAAGACTTCAGAAGAGGGCGATTATTCTATTGATATCTACTCGCCGATATTTCACTTCGCTCCGCAGCAAGAAAGTAAAGAAGATAGCATCCGTCCCCCTAGTATTTATGTTTTAATTATTTGTGTCTATGTCTTGCTGATTATTTTTATGTTGCCGTACTGATCTCTCTGTGTATACTGTCCTCTTGCACCTCAAAACTACGATCCCTCAGACGACATAGAGTCTAGATATCACTGGGAGCGCTGTCATGCGCCTGGTACGACAGACCTTTACTAATTATGTAGTGAACGCTCTAGTCGAATAAACGCAACACCCAGGAGGGAAGAGACAACCCTGACGAGTAGAAGAGCATCTCTATCGAGCGCTTCAAAGTAAAAGATCGTATCAAGCAGGATGCCACGTATACAGTGAAGGACGATCGCGAGCCAATACACAGTCTATTGCCCCGAGACCCGACGCTGTATGCATG